GGGTTGCGGGCTTGGCCTGCCACGGCGTGGCCTGAGCTGCCAAGCAGGGATGAGCCAAGCCCAGCACAGACAGCCCACATGGCAGGAGCTGGCTCAGGAGCTGCTGGGCATCATGGGTGGCTCGTGGGCAGGATTGTTCCTCCTGAAACATTCTGCCCGATTTTCCCTTTTCAGATTCCTGCCTGTATCACCCAGGGAGCCCCATCTTCCATGATGCCCTGAAGGTGAGTGGGGCAGGAGCTGGAGCTGCAGCTGCAGGGAGGGACCTTGTGCCCGGTGGGATTGCCCACACCTGACCAGTTTTTCATTTCCTGGTGCCTAGGGCTGGTCTTGTTGCAAGAAACGGACAACAGACTTCTCCGAGTTCCTCTCCATAAAGGTGAGCAACCCACCCAGCCCAAATGCACCTGCTGCTCTTCCATCCTCTCCTCCCTGCCCCTGCCCTGCCCTATCCTGTCCTGGCCCCAGCCCCTGCCAAGGCTGCCCCCTTTGCCCTGCTAGCCGGGGATTTCCTGTCTGCTTCCAAGGAACTTGCAAGCAAGGGTGCTGCTCCCAAAGCGCAGGGCAGATGCTCCCGGAGAAAGGTGCTGCAAGGGGCTAGGATCCCCCACCAGGATCCTGCGGGATGAACACAAATATGCCAAGCACCATCACAGCTGTGAATCTCTAAGTGGTCCTGGGGGAGTAAAGGAGGCAGCAGAGGTCTGGGGATGTGGGGGAGACTCTTGCTGCCCTTCAGCTGCCAGGCTGGGGTGCAGCAGAGCTAAGACCTGTCTGGCATGGCCCTGGTGAGGCTGCCACACTGGGAACCCCTGCAGATGCAGCTCCAGCCCTGGTGCAGGGTTAGAGCCCATCCCTGCAGGACGCAAAGCCACCAGAGCACAGAAACTTGCAGGGTTTGGGAGCAGTTGCCAGGTTAGGGAGGGCAACATGGGCATTAGGCTTGCCTTTGCTGCTCAGGGATGCACAAAGGGGTTTCACAGCAAGGAGAAGCCCCCTGAGCCTTTCAGCCAAGAGGAAACCTCAGACAAGCCAAAGGCCAAACCAGTGGAGGAGCTCATAATCCAAGGACCAAAATCAGCTGAGAAGATGCAACGGGAAAGACCAAGGTGAGACGGGCTCAGCTGACATTGTCTCCCTGCTGTGTTGCTTCTGCATGTGTCCTGCCCTGCTGCTTCCTCAGGAGAGGCAATGACACTTAAATTGCAAAAAAAAAACCCACTTGGCCTTTGCTGCTGCTGTTTCCCAGCTCTGATGAGCCAAGACAGCTGCTGCCAATTAAAGTATCCAGGTCTCTGGAGCAGGCACTGGAGAAACTGAACCTGTCATCCAAGGAAGAGGCACCTGAGAGCAGTTGTGCAGGTAGTGACTGTGGGGTTGCACATGGCAAGTTCAGCATGGGGTTTTGCATGGCAGGTTCAGCTCAGGATGGCCGGTGCTGCATGCTCAGCCACCTGCAAACCCACCGAACTGTGTTTCGGTGGCATGCTGCAATGGGCTGTGCTCAGGGGCTGTGTGTCCTAAGCTGGGGAGCTGGCAGTGGGGCTGTGGGGAGGGTTTGGGGGCAGGCACGGGTGGTGTGTGCCCCTGCATGAAGCTGTGTTGCTCTCACAGGGGAGGCAGCTGCCCAGGTGAGAGCTGGCACCACCTGCAAGAACGCAGCCTGCAAGGCGGTGAGTACCCAGTAGGGTCCCATCTTCGCACAGTCTGTGCTGCATGGCCAGAAGCATCGCAGGTCTGGTGTGGGGACTTGTTTCCCAGCTGTCACCAGGTGCAGGGCAGGGTGCTGGGTGGGTGGGAGTTGGCAGTGTCCATTGGCTCTGTATGCTCCTGCTCATCCCATACCTGGAGCGGCTGCCTTTGTTGCCTCTCAGCCATGTTCCTGCAAGAGGCTTCCAGATTTCTGGATTGGTGGTACATTTGCATTTCACTGTTGCTAATTGCTTGCAATGAAACATAGCACATATTCAGGATATGGGTAGCACGTATTCAGGAGCATGCTTGGAAATCAGCAGAGAGAGGAGCAAGCAGGGAGCAAAAGGTGGGAGGTGGATAAGGACATTAGACTGACTCACTCTAGGAAGAAGGGGAAGGGACAGGATGGACAAGCGGCCCCTTGCACCTTGGAACAAGTTTCTGTGGTGACCAAACTTGCCCACTGTCCCAGTGCTGCCCAGCCCTAGGCTGGGACCAGGCTGTGTTTGGAAGAGGACATGTGGAAGGGCTGCCTCCAGGGTCGTGGGGATGGCAATGGGGTCCCGGCAAGGCCAGGGTGGCTGCCCTGCCAGCAGGGAGCAGGGAACCAGTGTCAGGCTGCCGGCTGGGCATAGTCCCAGAGTTGGGCATCGTGCCGTGCCCTATGTAGGGATGGGCACCAATGGGTGGATGCCTGGCTGTGCCATGCCAGAGGCGCGGCCAAAACTTTCCTCTGCTTCTCAATCCACAGATCTATCATGGCCCGGAGAGCAACGCAGAGGTTTGTACTTTCCATCCTGGCGTTCCTGTCTTCCATGAGGGGTAAGAAACAACCCTTTACCGGGGAGTAAACTGACCCTGCTGAGGGCTGATAGTGTCACATAGCAAGGTTGTGTGGCCTCAGCAGCACAGCTCGTGCAGTGTGGGTGACACCGCCTGGGTGACAGGTGGGCAGGGGGAGCTGCTGGTTTGGAGCCCCTCTCCCCCACCACCCCGCAGCCCGCTGCGGTCCCGTCTCCTGCTCCCCTCTCAGGTCACCCTGCTCTCCCCAGGATGAAGTACTGGAGCTGCTGTGGGGTCAAAACGATGGACTTCAGCGCCTTCCTGGAGCAGCCGGGCTGCAGCAGCGGGAGGCACTGCTGGACAGGGAATGGGGTAAGGGAGCTCTCAGCAGGGTCAACTCATGTGAGAAAAGTGTCGTTACTGGCACCCAAGGAATGCTCCTTCCTTTGCTCTGCATTTACAGGGTTTTCTGCATTTAATTATCTTAATTTTCATAATTGCCAACAGATGACTGTGTAGGGCTTGAATGCCTAATCTTCACACATCTGCTGTTTAAAAAGCTGCTCCTGCATTCACAAAACGTCAGCTTTCACACCCAATGGGCAGATGTGGAATAAGAAGCTGAATGAGGCAGGAACTGGCCCCAGGCACAATGTAGTCAGCGCTGTAGGCTGCTGCACAGGGACAGGCAGCTGAGCATGGGAAAAGCCCTGAAAAAAAACCCGAAAAGTTTTGACAGATGACTGAATTTGGTTTTAATGAAGATTTCCCTTTGCAACTGCTTCCCAGGAGGGACCTCATCTACACAGTGACATGGTGTTTTGGCAGGGCAATGGGGAGGAGATCCCAATTCCCAATATTTGTGTGTTTAAGTTTCCCTGGGAAAGCTCTTGGCTGGAAATAGGCTTGAGTTGGGAAAGTTGCACCAAAGCAGCTCAGGATATCCCTTGAAGTGCATCATGTTCCTCTGAGTCAGCACTGCCCTGAGCAACAATTCTGTTCTTTGTCCTGAAGCAGAAAACATATAGTAGATGTAAAGCAGGCTGCAGTGAACGAACTATGATGTTGTGATGCAGATGCTTTGCGCTAACTGTCACCTGAGTTTGGGGCTGGGATTCCTCCTGGGGTGTTTCTTTGGCTGGCAATGCTGAGGGCTGCAGGGGGTCTGTCTCCTGGTGATGCTCAGAAATGCCTTGCGGGGCCAAAGCTGCCTGTGGCATGGACGTGGTGGGGTCCTATGGGAGAAAGGTGAAATGTGGCCAGTTGGGGCTCATCTGTCTCCCAAACTTAGCATGGTGCCATGATCCATGTCCAGCAACAGCCCCTGCACTGCCCTCCAGACCGAGTTTCCTGACTGTGCACAGCGCTTGGGGCATGCCACAGCTTGGGCACAGTAGAGTGATTCTGGAACAAGAAGGGGATGTCTCTGGTCTTAACATGACCTTCTGAAGCAACCCCAAGCACAGCACAGATGCCCCATATTTCATGGGACAGCCTGGCAGGGGCTGCCCACCTTCACATGAACCACCTCCCCTCCAAAACCTGCACAAAAGGCAGAGTTTGATCTTACTTAGCTGATATAACCTCAGCCAGCACTCTGCAGTGGAGATGTTTAAAGGAGCATCCTCCAGCACAGATATCCCTTCTGTTTGGGGTGTGCTTGGGCTAGATGCCATGCTGTGATGGGTTCCTCTCCCCGGTAGAACAAGAAGGCGGTGTCGTGCCGGCAGGACTGGCACCAAACCAGCAGCCAGGTGGTTGTGACGGTCTATGCCAAGAACCCCCTGCCTGCTCTCAGCAGTGTGAAAGCCAACCGCACCATGGTGAGTAGAGCCAGCAGAGCTGGGCTGGGGATGCGTGCTTTCATGGTACCTGATTTTGATGAGCCAACAGCCAGACACTGGCTGGATGCCTGGTTCTCTTTGATGGTGTCTTTGGTCTGTTGCTGCAGCTGGAGTTGGCACTGCTGCCCTGCCATCCCTGAGCTGAGAGCTCGGTGGTTTCGCTGCTGCTGCAGCAGCATCTGCCCAGCCACCCTGGCTCAGTGGCTTTCAGCCTCAGTGGGTGGCTTTGCTGGCTTTGAATCCCTCGAATGGTGGCAGAGGTGAACCCAGCATGCTCTGAAGGGGGTGAAATGCTCCTAGGTGCCAAGGGAATTGCCAGACTGTTACAGCGGAGCCAGGACATGGGATGCGTTACGGTGCTCGAAGGCAGCTGCACTGTCTGGGGGAAGAGCTCTGGCAGTACTGTGCTACCCACTCAGATAATTCTCTGTTGATCTTTCAGCTTGAGATTCACATCATCTTTGAAGGGAATAAGATTTTCCAGGCAGAACTAGATCTCTGGGGGGTAAGATCCTGTTTATTTTGACTTCCCTATTCCAGTAGTCTGTGTGGGCCTGGGCTGCAATACTGCGAGGCAGCCTGTGCTCTGGGGGAAGTGTTTGCAGCCCCAAACACAGGCTCCCAGTAAGAAAAATTACTCTCTGCATAGTCAAGATTCTCAGACTTCTGAAAAAGCAGCAAATGGTTGTTGCTGCAATTTCTGCACAGCCCTTCCTGTGCATGGAGCATGAGGCAGACTTTGACTGTGTTATCGCATAGAAATGCTGTGGCCCCCAGAAGACTGTCTCTTCCCCAGCTGGCACATCTGTGGGACAAACAGCCATTTCATAGTCCCTCCCTCAGTGTGATTCATTGCCAGCTCTTGAATCCTTGCGGAGAACACAGGTCCACCATGGCTGTCGCAGCAGAGAGGACCCATCTACCTCCAGAGCTCCAATTTTCTATAGCAGCAAAGGCTGATGGGGAAATTAGGTTTTTCTCTATTGATCCAATAGTGGTAGCATGCCCTGGGAGCCACGCCAGGACTATGCCTGGGCTTGGTGCCTGTTCTGACTGCTCTGCACTACCTGAGGCACCCTGGCTACTCTCTTTTTTTAAACATTGCTACAGTACTGGCTTGCTCTTGTTGGGATCGTCTGGGAGCCAAGTCGCCCAGGTACCGGCATTTATAGCCACGTCTGCTAGAAAATGCCTTAGGGATTGGGAGGAGGGCTGTTAAGGAGGCTGCTGGTGGCTACGCCAATCAATCCTGGACCAAGAGCTAAGCTGGACGTCATTGACAGCTCTGTAGGTGCTCTGGGTTTGGTCCAGAGTGCCACAAAGGGTCTTTGGCCCAGCAGGTCCCTGTCTCCCCCTGCAATCCTGCTGTGCCTGTGGGCAGGCAGTAGTGTGAGGGGAGACCCTCGCTCTCTGATTTCTCAGCTGCTTGCTGGCTCGGGAGGAGCAGCAAGACTCAGTAATTTGCAGGTGCATTTCTTGCCTTTATTTCTGGTGCGTGCTGCCTGTGCCTGCGGGCAGCAGAGTGTGCTGCTGGGTGTGGGTATGCCTGTGTCTGTGGAGCTCACTGTCTGTGGGGAGAGGGCTGTACCTCAGTCCTGCTTGTGGCAGCGGCTAGCCTAGCTCTCCTGAGCTCTGTACCAGCACTGTGGTGCTCAACTGGAGCCCAGGTTTCACCCTGCTCTGTTTCCTGGCTCACAAGGAGAGAAGATCTCTCCTCTCCGCTGGCAGGGCTCTGATGAGCGTGTGCTGCCTGCACTCCCCTGCCCAGCTCACTGCACCTTTCCCGTTCTCTAGGTCATCAAAATAGAGAAGAGCTTTGTGAGCATGGTCCCTACCAAGGTGGAGATCACACTTTGCAAAGCCAGCCCTGGCTCCTGGGCCAGGCTGGAGCTCCTCCAAAGCAGGACACACTCTTGTGGTGAGCCGGAGCAGGAGGCTGCCAACGCAGAGCAGTCTGGGGCAGCGCAAGGGGAGGACTCAGATGACAGCTTGAGCTGGTCAGAGGAGGAAGATGAGGAGCTGGAGACGGGAACACCAAGCAACTGACAGTCAAGTGCTTCAGCAGCTGAGCAGTGCTGGCTCCTGAGCTGCCGGGGACCTTGGCACCAGCTCCAGAGGAGGAGACCCAGCCCAGAGCCACGTGCAGGCTGCAGCACGCCCTCTCCCCTGGTCAGAAGGAGCAAGTAATAAAAACCCAGAGCAAAGGTTATTCTTTGAAATTCTTGATAGGCGCTTTTAAAAAACGTCAGTGGGCTGAATCCTGCCATCTGTGTTTCCCTCTCCTGTGCCCAGCTGGGGTGGGAGAACACGAAGAGCCCCCTTGTCTGCACCTCAGGCAACCTGTGCCTGTGCCAGGTCTCCTTGGGGCCAGGCTGCTCATTGCCCGGTGTTCTGCCTGATTTCTGGGGGGTGTAGAGCCCCGGGGGAGCTGAGCTTCACCCCCTCCCCCC